CTCTTATAATGTTGGTGGGGATGCAAACAGTGCAGCCACTGTGGGTGGCTCAAAAAGTATAGAGGTTCCTCAGAAAGTTAAAAATAGAACTACCGTAAGATCCAGCAATCACACTACTGGGTATTTACTCAAGGAATATAAAAACACTAATTCAAAGGGACACACATGCATCCCCATGTTTATAGCAGCATTATTTACAAGAGCCAAGATATGGAAGCCTGGGTGGCTCAGTCGGTTAAGCATCCAACTTGATTTCAGCTCATGTCTTCGATTGATGAATGGATAAAGATGTGGTATATATATACAATGGAATATTATTTAGCCATAAAAAAGAATGAAATCTTAAAAAAAAAACCAATGAAATCTTGCCATTTGCAATGACATGAATGGATCTAGACGTATAATGCTAAGTGAAATGTCAGAGCAAGATAAATACCATATGATTTCACATGTGGAGTTTAAGAAACAAATGAGTAAAGGGGAAAAAAAAGAGGGAGAGAGACAAATCAAGAAACAGACTCTTAACTCTAGAGAACAAACTGATTGTTACCAGAGGGGAGGGTGGGGGATGGGTGAAATAGGTGATAGGGATTCAGGAGTGTGTGTCTCATGACGAGCACCAGGTGATTAAAATACAAACTTAATAAAATAAAATAAAAATTGGAGTATTTATTTTTTATTGTGGAGTTGTAAGAATTCATTATATATTCTGAATACCAGACCTTTATCACATATATGATGTGCAAATATTTTCTCCCATTCTGTGGATTGTTTTCACTTATAGCAGCTTCATTGAGATAAAAATATGCCATACAATTCACGATTAAAGTGTAAAATTTAATTATTTTTAGTATATTCACAGAGTTGAACAACCATCACCCTCATTTCCTTGATAGTGTCCTTTGAAGTACAAGTTATTAATTTTGATGAAAACCAATTTATCAATCTTTTCTTTTCTTGCTTATGTTTTTGGTGTCATTCATATTTAAGAAACCAATGCCTAACACAATACCATCAAGATTTACTTCAACATTTTCTTCTAAGACTTTCCTAGTTTTAGCTCTTATATTTAGGTCTATGATCCCTTTTGAGTTAAAATTTTGAAATCAGAATGTGTTAGTCTTCCAACTTTGTTCTTTTGCAAGATTGTTTTGCTTATCTGGATCTCTTACATTTTCATATGAATCCTAAGAAACTTAAAAGTAAGAAACATAGAGAAAGAAATTTCTGAATCATCGTCTAAGGTGGCTGCATCATTTTTATTCCCTCCCCACCCGCCCCACCAGCAGTGAATAAGAGTTCCTTTGCTCTGCAACCTCACCAGCATTTGATATTGTCAGTTCTTTGGATTTTAGCCATGTTAATAGGTGTGTAGTGTTATCTCATAACTTTCTAAATTTGCCTTCCCTAATGATTGTGAACATCTCTTCATATGCTTATTTGTTGTGTGTATATTTTCTTTGGTAAGTTGTCTTATGTAAGTTTGTTTGTTTGTTTAAGATTTGATTTACTTGGTGCGCCTGGGTGACTCAGTTGGTTAAGTGTCTGCCTTCAGCTCAGGTCATGATCCCAGGGTCCTGGGATCGAGCCCCGCATCGGGCTCCTTGCTCAGCGGGGAGCCTGCTTCTCCCTCTCCCTCTGCCTGCTGCTCTGCCTGCTTGTGCTATCTCTCGGTCAAATAAATGAATAAAATTAAAAAAAAAAATTTATTTACTTATTTGACAGACAGAGACACAGTGAGAGAAGAAACACAAGCAAGGGGAGTGAGAGAGGGAGAAGCAGTCTTCCCACTGAGCAGGGAGCCCCACATGGAGCTCGATCCCAGGACATTGGGATCATGACCTGAGCCAAAGGCAGATGCTTAACAACTGAGCCACCCAGGTGCCCCTTATGTAAGATTTTTGCCCATTTTTTCATTGGATTGTTTTCTTATTGTTGATTTTTAAGAGTTCTTGTATATTTTGCATTCAAGTCCTCTATCAGATATGAGTTTTGCAGGTATTTTCTCCCAGTTGGGAGCTTGCTTTTTCCTTCACTTAATTGCCAAATATTTAAAAAAACAAAAAGCAAACAAACCCTTTGGTAAGCTTTAACAATGCACCTGCTTAAAAAACATCAAAGGGTACCCATTTAAGTTTGTTGTTTTGTAAATTACTAAAGGGACTCTCTGGAAAGATCTAGGGCCAAGTAAAGACGTGTATTTGGATTTCAAACCCCATCCATCCCCTTGACTGGTGCCCTTGTGCAAGCCACAAACTGCATAATCACATTGTAACAACCCCATTGATCTTAAGTGTATCCTTAATACACTTAAAGAACCTTCCACGATAGGCTCTGCCTATTCTCTTGCCACATCTCATCCTTCTATCCTTTCTCTCTATACCCACAAAAGCCTTATCGAAACAACTTCAAAAGGCTTTGCTTCCAGCCTCAAGATTTTCATAGCCAGTGTGGCAGGCTGACTTTTAAGACCCCCAGTGACCCTCACCTCTTGGTATTCATGACCCTGTATGGTCTCCCATTGAGAGTAGGCTGAAACTTGTGACTTGCTTCTAAAGAACAGAATACAGCAAACTGATGGAATGGCAGTTCCAGTAGTAGGTAAATTACTAACTTCTGTCTTGCACACTTTCTCTTCCTTTCTTACTTGTTCACTCTGACAAAGCCTACTGATTTATTGTAAGCTACTGAGGCACAGGCTCATATAGCAGGGAACAGAAGGAGGCTTTGGGCCAATAGCTTCTGAGGGGCTGCAGCCTTAGTCCAATAGTCTATGAGGAATTTCATCCTGCCAACAACCACTTGAGTCATTTTGAAAGCAGATCAAACCCCAGTTGAGCCTTCAGATGACTTCAGCCCTGGTTGACACATTGGTTGAAACCTTTATGAGAGACCAGGAGTCGGAAGATTCAAGCTAAGCTGCACACCAATGCCTGACCCACAGAAACTGTGAGATAATAAATGTTACTGTTTTAAGCCGCTGTTTTGGGGTAATTTGTTTCACAGCAATAGATTAATATGGTTAGGAGCATTCCCCTCCTCACTTTCTACCACTCTAATCCCATGTGTCTTCAAGTCTCAGATTTATTTACTTACTTATTTTTTAAGTAGGCTCCATGCTGGGCATGGATGCAGAGATTGAACTCACAATCCTGAGATCAAGACATGAGCTGAAATCAAGTTGGATGCTTAACCAACTGAGCCACCCAGGCTCAGTTGGTTATTTTTTTTTTTTAAGATTTTATTATTATTTTTTTAAGATTTTATTTTTTAAAATAATCACTACAACCAACGTGGGGCTCGAATTCACAACCCTGACATCAAGAGTCACAGGCTCCACTGACTGAGCCAGCCGGGCACCCCTCAAGTCTCAGATTTAAATGTCACTTCCTGAGGGGTGAACTCTCTTCCCCCTGCCCATCCTGCACACCCCAGCAAGTGTCTGGTTCCACACTCTTGGCATTCTCTCCTTCTCTTATGCAGCATTCATCACCACTGCAATTAGTTCATTATCATGGTATTTGCTTCCCATCTGTTACTCCCTAAGACTTGTCAGTTCCAAGTCAGAGTTGGCTGTATTTTTTCTACACTGAATTCCTAGCACCAAACATGGTGCCCAGCACAGAGTGGGGATATACTAATTATAGAATGAAAAAATGAATAAACAAATGAAGGAATTAGTAAATGAAGTATCCCAAAGCCTTGCCGTTCAGAAAGGAGGTAGAGAAAAGCCCAGTGCCCTAGTAAAGATAGTTAAAAAAAGTCTCATAATTCTCAGGCTTTATTTTAAAATATCAAAAAATAAAAACAAAAACCAAAAATAAAACCATGTCAACATATTCTAGATAGAAATTTGTTATGACAGACTACATTATAACCAAATTCTCTACATAAATTAAAAGTCCAACAAAGGTTAGCTCATAGTACATGATTTTGATAAAAACTTTGCAGTTTTATTTTTGTATTATTTTTTTTTAAGATTTTGTTTACTTATTTGAGAGAGAGACAGAGACAGAGAGAGCATGAGCAGGGGGAGCGGCAGGCAGAGGGAGAAGCAGGCTCCCTGCGGAGCAGGGAGCCCGGCATGGGACTTGACCCCAGGACCCTGGGATCATGACCTGAGCTGTAGACAGCTGCTTAACCAACTGAGCCATCCAGGCACCCCTCCTTAGTGATTCTTAATCATCACCTCCTGCCAAGTAACATCCAACTCACTCCGTAGCTGGACATTCAGCTGTCCTTTCCAGCCTGCTCCTCGACTGCTCCCTTCGCAGGCATCATGCTCTTGCCTTTCCTCAGTCACAGGGCATATTTTTTCATCTCTGGGCCTTTGCACACATTCTTCCTCTGACTGGAAGTCCCCCTTTAGTGCCAACCGATCCCCCCAAAGCCAAATTCAAGTCCGAATGCTCCTGGTCCCCCTAGAAGTGATTGCTCTTCTGCTCTGTCCTCTTAGGGCCTTGGTTTTTACCTCTTTCATGGCTTCTAACACATTCAATATTGTCTTGTGAGCAGGTGTGTATTTTGTTTATCTTCTCTACTACCCACATCTGAGGATACGATGGTCTCTGTCCTGATGAACCCTTTTCCCTACATAACCCAGCACACGGCTTTGGATGGACCAGAGGCTTAATACATGTTTGTCGTTGAATGGGTAAATGAAAGAATGAATGAAACATATATGCTAAAAGGCTTTTAAATGAATCATATATACTTTATATCTCAATGCCAATAATAATATAGCCATAGAAAAACATTTCATTTTAAAAACATTTTAATTTCCCTTTTTATAAAATTTCGTTTTCAAAAGTCCCAAACATACTCTCTCATACAGTAAAAATGAACTTAGGAACAAATACACAGGATGTTTCTTCACTAGTCCACCGAACACTGGTTAAATGTCCTAATATATTACTCTAAATAGTCACAGAGAAGCCAAGGAAGTAAATAAATAACACAGCAAACTAGTAAATACAGGAAAATGAGTTTTTCAAAAGCTTTCTGGGATTCTTTGTCTACTGTTGAACTTTTAACAAAATAATTTGAACTTAAAAAGTTTAATAATAATAAATATTAGTCCTAGATAAAGTGATTAAGTCAAAGTAGTTTACTTCAAATACAGGGACTTAATTACAGAAATGGAATGTACCCGATTGTTTAGGGAATGTTGTTTGAGAGGACAGTGTTCTCATGACTAAGTTCAGTGTATCCTGGATCTTCATGTTATTTCTTTCTATCAGGGAAGAATGTCTCCCATCCGATTTCGTGTTTTCTTCTGGTTCAAGGGGGAGAAGTGTATGGGGGTTGAACAGACACCGAGGCTCCCCCAAGATGCCAACTCTGTGAAAAGAATTACTGGTATAGCTGAAGCAGTAAGGCCAAAGAAGAAGGTGTATGGTTCTGGCTGTGCGTGCATGTGTGTGTATGTGTGTGTACACACCAAAGCTGCACACACACACACACCCCTATATATATATATATTTTTTTTTTCTTTTTAAGTTTTCCCTGTTTCCATGAACCCCCATTGTGGTCTTAAGTGTGGGTCCAAAAACTCAGCCCACAGTAAGATTTTGTAACTGGCTTTCCCACATTTCCCAGAGCTGGTTCTTCTAATGGAGAAACTTCAGCCTTATAAAGTTGGCTACTCCCTCCTCCAAATTAGAACTATTTGAAGTCTAGCATAACTTTCTAGCAGTGTTTTCTCGTCTGGCCAGGTGTACCAAGAGATGCTTGGGAAAGGAAACAGGTGGAGCGGAGGGGGGTGGGTAAGAAGGCAGCTTTCATCTTTGTTCAACTTTCTGGACAAGGCACGGTGTCTGAGCCCCTGCGCCTCCTGGCCCAACCTAGGACATGACCTGAGGCTCTCCTTTCTCTCTCCTTGGGCCACTTACGTTGGCATGGGCACAGAGCCCAGACTGTCCATGTGCTCTTGCCTCGGGGCTGGGAGTCTGATGCCTCCTTGATGATTCTTTTTCTCAAAGACATTCTGAGCTTTTTCTCTGAGAGACGGCAGCAGAGTAGACATGACTGGAGAGCGCATGTTGATGGCTTTTTTAATCGCTGGGCGTTTTGCCATCATTCTCCTGGGGTGGGGAGGGGTGACATTTAGGTTACATCATCCTGTTTTCTAGAAATATCCCTGAGCTTTGGAAAGTCAAAAGGTCATACCTGAATTGTACAAAAGTCATGTGTTTCTTTCCCCACCCCCTTGATTCTTCATCCTCGCGCTTCCTCCGAGGAATGTTGAACATATTGGTACGAAAGAGCCTCCCTATTTCTTCCTCAATCTCTGTGAAGTGTTGACGTCGGAAGACAATCCAAGCTACATATGTACAGAAAGTATAAAAGGACTACGACAGAAGACAGACAAGAATCACGACCCACGGCTATGATAGTAAAAACTCCCACCTGTCTATATAATGCTGCTAATCAGACGCAAACCCAGATGACCCCATTTCTCCACATTCCTGAAAAGCTGTGGAAAATTACACACGTACTCACCTTTGCAGGAGGAAAATGAGACCAAAAATTTAAGATATGGCATACAGCTTGTTAGCAACCTTTTAAGAAAAGATATTCACTAAAAATAAGTACCTAACAAATGGCTATTGGTTACTGGTATACTTCATGTTTCATTCGAAAGAGAAAAGCCCCAAAGACTCACCTCAAAGAATTTCCAGTCTTTCTGTGTATCTGATATTTTCTCCCTGCAATATAACAAATCACAACTACAGGTTGAGAGGGAAATTCAATCTTTCAGTGATCTAGGGAAGCCCCTATCTTCAAATGCCTCTTGGCAGGATCATTACCTGTGGCCTCAAGGCTATTTATTTATTTATTTATTTATTTTTAAAGATTTTTTTTTTTTTTATTAGAGAGAGAGAGGTACAAGCAGGGGGAGCGGCAGGTAGAGGGAGAGGGAGAAGCAGGCTCCCCGCTCGGCAGGGAGCCTGACGTGGGGCTCGATCCCAGGACCCTGGAATCATGACCTGGGCCGAAGGCAGCCGCTTAACCGACTGAGCCACCCAGGCACCCCAGCCCCAAGGCTATTTAGCTACGTAAATGCTGTCAAAAGGCATTGATGAGGCCCGGTATCTTTTTCTTCAACTTCTCAGGTTATCCAGATCAAAACCCCTACTAGAGTGTTTGGTCAAAAGTTAATCAATATAAATTCAGGAATCACAAGCCAGCAGGAAATGTATTCTTATGAATGTTTTTGGTGATGTGAGGGTTGGGGAGAAAGGGGAGTGGAAAGGTGGTAAAGAGGTAACATGGGGTGTTAGTAGGTAGGGAAATAGGAAACTAAGGGGAAGTCTACAATGGAGAAAAAGACAAAGAATAAACATCTTAAAAATCTTAGAAAGATTAAAAAAAAATCTTTAAATAAAATCTGCAGTTCACTGGAGACAGCAGTGCGCTCTTCCTTCTAGATGTGGTATATACACTGAGCCTTGTCTCTTAAAGGCAGGCATCTGCTCAGGAGTCCTTGCAACACAAATTCAGTGTGATACTGTACCGGCATGGGCACACTTACTGAACTTGGCCCCCCTCCCCAACACAGGCCATTCTAGTTCTGATTCCCAGCCTTAGGAGAGCAGCCATGGCCTGCGGAGGACTTGAGAACTGATGGAGAGGGCTATGCACCTGCAATCACTTGATCACTCAAGGGGGCCAAGGCTAGAGGCACTCCAAGGCTGATCCTGGATGTGCTTCTGGTTTTGCTTGGGACTTCCTCCGAATAACAGACTCCCAGGATTGGCCCTTGTTATCAGGCTTTCAAGAACCATCCTGAACTCCAGTGGTCTGGGGAAGATGAACCAAACCCCTCAGGGACTTCATGATCTGTGTAGGCCCAAATTAGCCCTCCATTTGGGGGGAACACGGAAGCACTGGTTCAGCTTTTACTGGGGTGGATCCCTCCCTTCCTGCAGCCTCTTCATTCATACACTGGTTTCCTCGTGTGCAAGTCTTCAACAAGGAAGTAAGGCAATCATTACAGTGTATATTTACTAAGTATGGACCCTGTGCCAAGTATGCTAAGCCCTTTACATCACCATATTTAGTCCTCATAAGATCTCTACGATGTAGTCAGCATTATTATTCCCACTTTACAGCTGAGGAGACTGAAGTTCAAAGACATGTAATTAGGGATAGAGTCTGTACTAAAACTTGGGCCTGTCAGATCTCCACATCTGTCCCTGCAACCAGAACGCTAGGGAAACAAGCTTTTCCTTTAGATTAGTTTGCAGATGGAAAACATTAAATTACAGGCCCAGCAGAAACTTTCAGGACAAGCCTCTGTTGTCCTTCTGTGCCACCTGCAGCCTCCACCTGACCAGAGTGCTTATGTGGCATTTCCCCTCTTCCATGGCCTCTACCAGCTGACACCAGACACCATGCAGACCTGCCAAGCTGAAGCAAACACCAACCAAACTCGGTATCTGGAATACCAAGTCAGCCTGCCTTCTGGGAGAAGATTTAGACCAGCACTTAGGGTTATACAACTCAAACCAGAGGTTTAATACAACTCAAACCAGCACCATCTTAGCGAGGTTTTGAAATGACAGGGTGCGCAGGAAACACACACTTTTTCCTCTCCTCTCTTTTCTTTCTTTTTTTAAAGATTTTATTTATTTATTTGAGAGAGAGAGAATGAGTGGTGGGGAGGGACAGAAGGAGAGAGAGAGAGAAGCAGACTCCCTGCTGAGCAGGAAGCCCATGTGGGGCTGGATCCCAGGACACGGACACCACGACCTGAGGGGAAGGCAGACGCTCAACCCACTGACCACCCAGACGCCCCGCCTCTTTTCTTTTCTTATCTCTCTCTCTTTTTTTTTTTTTTAGAGAGAGAGTGCCTGTGCACACTCCCAAGTGGGCATGAGGAGGGGTGGGGAGAGGGAGAGGGAAAGAGACAATATTAAGCAGGTTCCACGCCCAGTGCAGAGCCCCATATGGGGCTCTGTCTCATGACCCTGAGATCATAACCTGAGCTGAAATCAAGAGTCGGATGCTAAACTGACTGAGCCACCCAGGTGTCCCTCTCCTTTTTTTTTTTTTTAAGTTTTATTTTATTTAAGTAATCTCTACACCTAACATGGGGCTTCAACTCATGACCCCAAGATCAAGAGTCACATGCTCTTCCACCTGAGCCAGCCAGTTGCCTCTCTTCTCTTTTTAAACGTTAGAAGAGAAGGTACCATGAACCTCTTCCCCTTCTCAAGTTGCCATAAAAGGAGACTTTTTTCTCTCTTAAAGCCCAAAGCAAACTGACGGAGCCTACCCCACAGAAATCAAGTACAGAAGGCAGTGGGTTTCTTCTTACCATTCTGATTTAGCTCTGCGTATGAACCTGAAATGAGTCAAGGAAATGGAGGCAGAGAATGAGCACGTTTGGGAACCTCCTAGTTTAAATCTGCAAATACCTCTCTTGGTGAATTTTGGGTCATTTTTCTTCTTTTTAATTTTACTTTATAATTTTTGTATTAAGCACATAATAGTTATAAACTGACTATAAATTTAAAGATTCACTGAGCATCAATAACAAATTTAAACACTCCAAATTCAAATAGACTTTATAATAGCAAAATCCAATGGAAATATAATGTGAGCCACAAATGTAATTTTTAAAATTTCTGGTGGCCACAGTAAAAAGAAACAGGTGAAATTAATTTTAATAATATACTTATTGTATCCAAACCCTGAAATATTATCATTTTAATATGTAGCCAACATTTTAGAATGATTAATGAGATATTTTGTTCATTTTTAAACTTGTTTGTATAGTGTATATTTTACATCCATTTAAATATGGACCAGCTGCATTGCAAGTGCTCAATAGCCACATGTAGCAAGTGGCTACCATGCTAGTCAGCAAAAATGCTGTACATTTCACCTGTGAGGGCAAACTCCAAAGAAAAGGGGGGAAAGCCAGCCTGGTGATAAACCCAGAGATTTTCAGTGACCTATTATGATGCTTTCTTTTCTTTTCTTTTCTTTTTAGGATTTTATTTATTTTTGACAGAGAGAGAGAGTGCACAAGCAGGGGAAGCAGCAGGCAGAGGGAGAGGGAGAAGCAGGCTTCCCGCGGAGCAGGGAGCCCGATGCGATGTGGGGCTCGATCCCAGGACCCTGGGATCACAACCTGAGCTGAAGGCAGACGCTTAACTGTCTGAGCCACCCAGGTACCCCTGTTATGACGCTTTCTTATTCCTTCTTGCTACATTAGACTCTTAGCTCTAAACCAAAATGAGGAAAGTATATCATATTTTTAGTCATTCCTGGAAAAAAAAAAAAAAAGCCAGCCCCAAGGGGTCCTGAGGCCCTAGAGAAAAAAAGTTTGCTCCCACTTACCCCCTGCTGCTTTGGATGGAAATCAGGTTTAAATGAAGGTCAAGGCCTACTCTGCACAAAGGAACAGAATATCAAAGGAATGTGTTTGTGGGAGGGGAAAGAGGCCTTATTGACCGTGACTAGAAGGGTGGGGGTGGGGAATGGGGCTTAAGGGTGATTTATAAAACTGAGTTTCAAAGAGACCCCTTTCTCTGTATGCGCATCCCTATGCCAGCCTCTCTGGTCCCATCAGGCGACAGCTTGCACTGAGAGCAAGGGGGGAGGGTAGAAATCCTAGGATAGAGGCAGGGGTGGAGCCCGAATTGGCTATAACCGAAGAATAGATCTAATTCTATAGCATGTACCATGAAGAGGTCTTCTTATCTATCCTGGAAAACACGGAGATCTTTCACTGAACACGTTCATCAAAATCGTGCCAAAGCTTTTGCGATATCAGGATTTTACAGATGTATTTAGAATAGAAAAGCATGTCCTCCTACTTTTCGAGAAACATGAAAGCACTAAATTAACTGCCCCCAAATTGCTGGTTCTTCTGAAATCTCTAATTTAACTCCAGAGACAAATAGCGTAAGGTGGTCCTAGCCCAATATTAAGTGTGCATATGTTAGAAAAGTCAGAAAATACACGAGAATGTTCTCATGGGACTATTAACGTATTCACATTGGAAGTGAAAGAATGATATATTAAAATCAGGTAATCACTCCTAACTGGCAAAAAAAACTGTCCTCACCTTCTAGATAAAAATAGCCAAAAGAACAATATAAACTCCATTCTAGGACATAATCAACGCCCATGGCCAATTAACAACTTTTATTGGCAAAAAACATGCTGTAATCTATTTTCCTTGATATCCTTTGTTCGGCTCTATGACCCGTATGGAATTTGCTATGTGAGTGGTGGGTGGTGAGCTCTAAACTGATTCTTTTCCAAACTGCTATCCAATAGGCAGGAGAAAAGCAGGTGATGTTGCATATAATGACAAAAAGACCAGCACCTCCTGGAGATGAGCCAGTACTAAACTGAGGCAATCCTTATCTTTCAAACACAATGAGTTCTTTAAAAGTTTGTAAAAATTACATCGTAATAAAAATGTACTGTTAAAAGTATAATAATGTAAGTGTACGTTCTATATCCAGAGAACTAAAAGATATAATAAAATCTTCAGTTATAATTACTCACAGTTTGGGTTTTTTAAATCTCAAAATTAGTCTGCACTGCACATGTGCTTTTATTTTTAATGTTTTTAAAGATTTATTTATTTGAGAGAGGGAGAGAGAGCGTGCGCACGCATGAGTGGAAGGGAGGCACAAAGGCAGAGGGAGAGAATCTCAAGCAGACTCCCCGCTGAGCCTGAGGCACTAAATCCCACAAACCCTGAGATCATGACCTGAGCCAAAATCAAGAGTCTGAAGCTTAACCAGTGGGGCCACAAGCCAGCCACCCCTGCACCTGTGCTTTTAAAGATTAAACATTAAGGGGTGCCTGGCTGGCTCAGTCAGTAGAGCATGCAACTCTTGTCTCAGGGTTGTGAGTTCGAGCCCCACACTGGGTGTAGAGATTACTTAAAAATAAAAATCTTTAAAAATTAAACATTAGGGGCGCCTGGGTGGCTCAGTTGTTAAGTGTCTGCCTTTGGCTCAGGTCATGATCCCAGAGTCCTGAGATCGAGCCCCGCATCGGGCTCCCTGATCCATGGGAAGCCTGCTTCTCCCTCTCCCACTCCCCCTGCTTGTGTTCCCTCGCTCACTGTGTCTCTCTCCATCAAATAAATAAGTAAAATCTTTAAAAAAAAATTAAACATTAAATATTGCCAATATAATTATTTTTTAAGAGTAGGTGTTTTTCTGTTTTGTGTTTTTTGTTTTTGAGGTTTTTTTTAATAAAGATTTTATTTATTTATTTGAGAGAGAAAGAGAGAGCATGAGCAGTGGGGAGGGGAAAATGGAGAGGGAGAAGCAGGCTCCCCATTGAGCGGGGAACTCAAAACCAGACTCAGTCCCAGGACCCCAGGATCATGACCTGAGCTGAAGGCAGATGCTTAACCGACTGAGCCACCTAGGCGCCCTAGAGTAGGTTTTTTTAACCTTGTTGTGGACCTAATGTTTGTGTCCCCCTAGTCCCATCCCAAATTCATATGTTGAAGCCTTAACAACCACTATGCTAACATTTGCAGGTGGGGGTAATTAGGTTCAGATGAGGTCATGAGGGTGGACCCCCCCATGATGGGATTAGTGTCCTTTTAAGAACAGAAAGAGGGAGACTAGGACTTTCTCTTTCCATCATGGAGGGACCCAGTGAGAAGGCAGCTGTCTGCAAGCCAGGAAGAGGGCCCTCACCAAAACTCACAATGCTGGCCTTCTGATCTTAGACTTCTAGGCTTCAAAACTATGAGAAAATAAATTCTGCTGTTTAAGCCATTCAGTCTGTGGTAGTTTGTTATGGCAGCCCAAGCTGACTAATACAAACCTCAAATTCTAGCTTTCTCAATTTGAAGTGACACTTAGAAGACAGAAGAAATTAGAGTAATGTTAAGTTGAGAAAAAGTAATTTTTTTAAGGGGGGGGCAAGGGCAGAGAGAGAGGGAGAGAGAATCCCAAGCAGGCTCCATGCCCAGCATGGAGCCCGACTTGGGGCTCGATCTCATGACCCTGAGATCATGACCTGAGCCGAAATCAAGGTCAGGACACTTAACTGACTGAGCCACCTAGGCACCCCTGAGAAAAAGTAATTTTAAAGTGACTGAATAGGAAACTGTGAAGCTGATGATGAACTTATATGGCTACTGAATAGCATCAGAAACAAGGTAGAAGTGTTCAAATAAAGATTTTTAACACTTTCATAATGTGTAAAAACACGAACATCAAAGGAAAGCAACAAATCAGAAAAACAAATGGCCAAGCCTTGCTATATGAAACATAAATTATACAAATACCCACTTTCCAGTTGATAAATGGTTAAAACTAGATGAGGCAGTAATTTTGATAATTAATAATATTAATATAATAAACAGGCAGTAAATTATTTTATAAAGAAAAAGAGCACAGACCCCCACAGTCATGAAAGATTGAAAGTCAAAGGAAAGAGCTTTAAGCTTTTTTTTTTTTTTTTTTTACAACTTTAAGCTATCAGAAATATTTAACTAATAGAGCTAGGTATGTGTATTGCTGATGGTGATACAAAATGTTCTAGCCTCTCTGGAGAACAATCTGGCAATATGTAACAAGAGCTAGGGAACTACTGATGCCTTCTAGGTAAATACATTCTGGGTAATAAGTCATAAGTAAATAGCTCAAATAGACAAAAGTAATTTCCATAATGATATCTAACGCAGAAATAGCATAAAGCAGAAAAACTGAAATCACATAAGCGTGCACAGAAGGAATGGTGAGGCAAACTGGTGTATCACACAGTAGAACTATAGTTGCCATTCAAAGTGGTAGGTGAGATTCTGTAAACAGAATAACTAAACAGAGCATATGGAAATATCTGTATTTTGAAAATGTGGGGAATGCAGAGAGAAATCATGAATTCTGTTCTTTTTCTATGAAGTTAAAAATAAGGGTTCTGGCCACAACTTTGGTGTGGCTCTTGAGCCTGTTGTAAAACCACTCTGAGAAGGAGATTGCGGGGGGGAAGTGCAATTTAAGGATCAGAGCTTTCCCTCAATGTCTCCAAACCCTCCTGTGATACGACACATTACTTTTTTTAAAGATTTTAAAGTAATCTCTACACCCAATGTGGGGCTCGAACTCACAACCCAGAGATCAAGAGGGGCATGCTGTACTGACTGAGCCAGCCAGGTGCCCCACGAGACACTTAAAATTTAATTACAGTAATACATAAACTATCATGCTAGGGCAAAGATTATCTCCACACAAATGTCATCTTATCACCCCTACCTTACTAGCTTGTCCCCACAGCTCCTGTTGCTGCACAATGAGCAGCAGAAGGGCAAGGGACACACCCAGCGCCCCCTTCGACACTGGCCCATCACCAGGCCTCCTGCCCTAGGCAGCCGTGGGGCCCTGGCCCTGGAAGCAGGAAGCCTTCCAGGTTGAGAGCGAGATTCCGCTGAGCCAGTATATCCTGAGGGGAAAGTCTTTTAAACTTAAGCAGTGTAGATTCTGGGATCCTTCCCATACTCGGCTTTCTCAAACAAGACACACATGTGTTTGGGGCAGAGTCTCACCTGAGCCCAATTATCCTCTACAACCAAAGTGGAAACTTTCACAAGGGCACCAAAAGTCAAATTTTCTGGATATGAATACATAAACAAGTGAAGATCTCATGAAACTGTGCAGTGTGCACTTACTTTCCGCAGCACATGTGATGCTTATCAGGCATGGCCAAGCCCAGGACGAGAATGCAGTACTTCTGAGCCAAGTACTTCTGGGCCGCTTCTAACTTACTTATAACCAATTCCATCTCTTTCTTCTCTACAAGGCCCCTGAAAAGAAAATGATCATTTGGATTCATTTGGGCAAATGCCAATACTAATTAGCAAAAAGTCAGAAGTGTAAACTATTTTGAAAGAAACACAAGTGAGTCAACACATCTCACTTACCTTTTATTCAATTTGAGCTATGGCAAAGGGAGGGCCTCCAAGCCCTTTGATAGTTATCATTGTAATCAGCATCTTGAGTTTACAGTGAATTTTCACTTTTTTATAGATTCTTTGTAGTATGTATCCTTAATTTTACATATAGGCTGTCCTAATTTATATAGGACAGCTCAACTGACAAATTACCTACACTGGTTTCTGAGGCAGCTAGCAGCCCATTTCCCTGCTGTTTTGTTAAAAGAGCCATGGAGACTCTCTCCCTTCAGCTTCCCCTGGGTTCCCGATGTTACTACTAAGTTTGAAGGCCCAATGTTCGACCTTCTCAATGCTTCCCTACTCCCAGTTCTGTGTTGGCTGAGGAAGCATGTGTGGACCACTCCTCTGGGAACTTTGGCATCAATTATAATAACCTTGCTTCCCTGCGAAAACACTGCCCCAGCTCCAATTGAATTGCAAATGAACTTTCCAAAAGACAACCTGTTCGCAGGTTACAGCGTGTCTGGAGCCAAATTTTAGAGTTTTTGCAGTACAATATAGTAGGAAACAATACTGCTAACAATACATTCCAGTGATTGCTATTGAAAAGTGAAGGGTCGGGGCGCCTGGGTGGCTCAGTCGGTTAAGCGACTGCCTTCGGCTCAGGTCATGATCCCAGGGTCCTGGGATCGAGTCCCGCATCGGGCTCCCTGCTCAGCGGGAAGCCTGCTTCTCCCTCTCCCACTCCCCCTGCTTGTGTTCCCTCTCTCGCTGTCTGTCAATTAAATAAATAAATAAATAAGTCTTTAAAAAAAAAAAGAAAGAAAAGTGGAGTGTCATTGGCTTTTTATCTGCCTTTTAACTTTCAGAAAGATTTAAACCCCATGAAATGCACTTTAAACAACAGGGACAAATTACTGCCCCTTCTGATGTTAACCACTAGACTGACCACATGAGGATATGCCGTGGAGGAAGGGGTTTAAGGATAATAGAGATATTTCAAAGCACAAAATGTTATCACATGCAGTGAGAAGGCTTGTGAGTCACTGGAATAAAGTAAGTTTCTGGAATAGATAAAGTGAGTTCCAACTTTAAATGCCCAAATTTCATATAACCCAAACATCTGCACCCATCTGCACCCCAAACCCCATCACTATGCCTGCCTCCCTGTTTCTTTCAGCAACCTCCACCCTCTCCTATTCCTCACCCCTGTGTTGCCAGAGCTGCCAGTAGCTAATACGTCTCTTTTGCTGTTGAAGACAAAACAAGGAAAAAATGCCCTGAAACTTTTAGGCCACTGGCTCCTAAGTTTAAATATACGTTAAGAATTGGGGCGCCTGGTTGGCTCAGTCATTAAGTGTCTGCCCAGGGTCCTGGGATCCAGCCCCGCATCAGGCTCCCTGCTCGGCGGGAAGCCTGCTTCTCCCTCTCCCACTCCCTCTGCTTGTGTTCCCTCTTTCGTTGTGTCTCCCTCTGTCAAATAAATAAAATCTTAAAAATATATATATATATGTAAGAATTGCCTGCGATACTCGCTAAAAGTGCAGATTCCTAATGCCACCCCCTCTCCAAGATCTTGATTCAGTAGGTCTGTGTAGAACCTGGCATTTAAAACAAGTATAATCCTTTGGGGAAAACTTGACAATAATTTCAAGTGCCATACAACTGACCATAAACTTGGGTCCAATAATCTCTCCTGGAAATTTATCCTTCTTAAAAAAAATTATCCAAAATTAAGGGGGAAATCTAATGCATGAAGATATTCAATAATATTCAGTTATTACCTACTTGTTTATCAGGAAAACTGGCAACTCCCAAAAATATATAAAATGGAGGGGAAAAAGGAGTAGTAATGCAGGCTGTAGTAATACAGCCAAGTACTGTTGAAGGACTTGACATTTATTAACTTAACATATGAGTCCCTATAGGATTTATTCCAGCACCAAAGTCCACACCCTTAACCACAGTACGTACTATACTGCCTCTTAATAGGTCAGTCAGTCCATCAACACACATTAGGTTAATAAGTGACTTAATAGTCACTATAAGTAGCTTAATAATGACTTAATAAGTCAGTCAGTCCATCAACACACATTAGGTTAATAAGTGACTTAATAGTCACTATAAGTAGCTTAATAATGACTTAATAAGTCAGTCAGTCCATCAACACACATTAGCTTGACGGAAAGTTACGCCACCATTAAAAATAATTATGAAGATGTAATAACTTGAAAAATACTTGTTTTAAAAACTGCATAATTTTGCCTTTGTACAGAAGCTACAAATCCTAATTACAAATGGATAAACTCTGTATAAGAGGGCTCAGCTGACTGGGACAGGGTGGCGAACATGCTGCACAGAGGCTGAGAGGCTGGGGAGTTAGATGGATCTGGGCACCCATCTCAGCTCCACCACTAACTAGGCAAGTCTTCTCTGGCCAGCTCCTTAACCTCTCTGAGCCTTAGCTTCTTCACCTGTAAAATGGGGATAAGGCTTCTTCTTCCGGAATTAGGGCTTCTAATCATCTAAAACCACCACCATGTACCTCTGTACCCCTTCCAGCTCTCCTCTCACAAGTTGTAGGCTTTCCTCCCAAGCGGCAACCTCTGCATTAAGATAATATTGATGATCTCATCTAATCTGGATGATAACTGTAAAGTAGATACTACTATTACCTCTGTTCTATCTCACTAGTTTGACTGAAATCAATTTTTTTCTTAAAGTTATTTAAGTCCAGATATCTCAATATAATCTATATTTATTTCTATTAATCAGTACACTAACTGACCACTGGAACCCTGAAAGTGAAACCTTAGTCTTATGATTTTAGAATCACACCACAGGGGGCGCCTGGGTGGCTCAGTCGTTAAGCGTCTGCCTTTGGCTCAGGTCATGATCCCAGGGTGCTGGGATCGAGTCCTGCATCGGGCTCCCTGCCCAGAGGGAAGCCTGCTTCTCCCTCTCCCACTCCCCCTGCTTGTGTTCCCTCTCTCGCTGTGTCTCTCTCTCAAATAAATAAAATCTTAAAAAAAAACAACATTCCACAGCAACAAATTGATGACTCTAACAGCATTTCTAACAGCTGAATCATTGGACTGGTTCCACATGTACCGGGGAGGGCAGCCTGGGCACTTGGAAAGTTCCATGGCTTGCCAAAGGTCACCAAGCCTGAGAGGCATTGTTCTGCTCTGGACTCTTGAGTTCCCAGATTCTTGCCCTGTACAGCTCTGAGCCACCTCTGCCTAAAGCAGTTAAATTCTTCCTATGTAGCCTAAGAAATCTTATTTTCTTCTGTGATATGGAATATCATTTTGGTCATATCTATTAATTTTGGTAATTCTTCGTTTTTTTCATTAGATGCTTGCAAAAGCCCTAGCGAGAATTTCAGAAGCATTAAAAGCATAGAACGAATATCTATATCTGCACTGTCCAATATGGTAGCCATTAAGCCACATGTGGCTATTGAGTGGTTAGTATGAATTGAGGTATGTTGTTAAGTGTAATATAGATATCAGATTTCAAAGACTTACTACCAAGAAAAAAAAGTATGTCATCAATAACTTTCTAATATTGACTACATGTTGCAATGACATTTTTGAGTCATTGAATTAAATAAAACACATTATTAAAATTAATTTCACCTTTATCTTTTACATTTTTTTAAATAGAGCTACTGAAAAATTTTAAGTTACATATGCGGCTCTCATTATATTTCTATTGGGCAGTGCTGGTCTCTATTATCTGGAATATTTTGTTGCTAGAAAAACCATTCGAATTATTCAGTGAGCTTTAAAAGCTGATGAACTCCTCCCATGTGAAATGTTTGTTTTCATATCCTCCAAAAATTTAAAAATTCCCATCATCTCTACCTTAGTTTTCATACTGGCAATAATAAAACTTTAAAGTGCACTACAAAATCCTACTTACACCATATAGCTTTCGGGTTTCTTTTCCAGTGAATTTTTTTCCAAGTAATGAGATAAATAGTACAACAATGCCATGAGGAAATTGTCAAGATTTTTATTCCTAAGGGAAGAATTAAAAAAAAAAATAGAAGAAAGAAATGAATGCTAACATATTTATTTTTTCTTCAAGATTTTATTTATTTATTTATTTGAGAGAGAGAATGAGAGAGAGAGAGAGCACATGAGAGGGGGGAGGGTCAGAGGGAGAAGCAGACCCCCCGCTGAGCAGGGAGCCCGATGTGGGGCTCGATCCCGGGACTCCAGGATCATGACCTGAGCTGAAGGCAGTCGCTTAACCAACTGAGCCGCCCAGGCGCCCTATTTTTTCTTCAAATTTTAATTTAAATTCTAATTAGTTAACATATAGTATAAACATATTTCAAGCATAAAACTTTTCATAAGAATATGTGGGCATATGACATAAGAATAAGTAGAAATACACATTATCATGCCTATCACACAACTAATTTACCATTTAAAATTCTACCTACTATACTATTGAAGATGTAAGAAATCTGATTTTTGTAACCAAACTTTTTAGGGGGTCACACACTAAATTACAGTTTTGCTTATCAATTAGTTTTAATTTTTAAGAAGTTTTCATCATACAAATAATATTTTCCATTGTTTAAAAAATGTACACAAATGTGTAAAGTAGAAAGTCCTCTCACTGCTTTGCTACCATCATACTTCCAAGCGACAGCCACTGCTAAGAGTGGAATGAATCCTTCCTAAATTTTTCAAAGCAGAGACAATTACGTATAAGGTCCTCCCCCACCAACGCACACACATATGCATGAATATATGCCTTAAAATTTTCTTTGGTAACAAATAAGATAATGCCATATATATACAAGTCTTTGCAACTTGCTTTTTTCACTTAATTGCTTAGAATGGACCTCTTTCCATGATACCATGTATCAATTTTCCTCATTCTTTTAAAAGTTGTATAGTTTTCTATATCTCATATTTTATTTAACTAGTCCTCTATTGATGGATATGTAGTCCTTTAAAAAATACTGTTGACATTGCTGCAGTAATTATCCTTGTGGCCACGTCTCTGAGGAACTTCCTAGGAGTGAAATTGCTAGGGCATGGTGTACAGCATATTAAAGTTTCACAGCTTTGCTCTAGGAAAAGGTTGCATTGATTCACAATCCCATCTCATTTCTTTTAAAACTAGAAGGCTTTGTCTTCTTTCTAAGTATTCTTACAAGATTTTTGCTGCTTCCTTTCTAGCAAATGCAAATTCTTACTGGCATTCTTTCTTCAACTATACCTTGACAACCGGATGAAGATGAGCATTGCTGATTTTTTTTCCACAACGTTAGTAACTACCTGTCCTGGGCTGGGTTCTCTCAGAAACAGACTCTGAGACAAAGATGTGAGATTAAGTAGTTTACTTAGGAAGTGCTCACAGGAAACATGAGTAGCAGGTTGGGGAAGCAAGACAGGAAAGGGGAAGGAAGCCCACACAGCGGGTGTTAACAAGTTCATTATCCCTGTGGACAAACACAGTTCAGTCCTGTGGGGGGCTCCGGGAGACAGTGCAGAAAACTTCTCAGAGTTATCCTGACAGAAGGAAGCTGGGATATCTTTGTACCAACTCTCCATCTAGCACAACTCTGGCTGAAGGCTGCTTCTGGGACACTGACAGTGCTCCCAGCTTGCCCTGTGGTCAGGCTGAGTGTGCTCCCGCTGTGGAATAAAGCTTCAGGTGCTTGCCACAAGCAGCCTTCGCTGAATGCTGAGGGAATGTGGGAGGGCTGCCAATCTTGGGTACCCAGTTCTCACTGAACACCGACCCTCAGCCAGACCGAGACACAATTACTTCCGATTTTGTATCTGAGGAAACAGGCTTAGAAAGGTCAAGAAGCTTACCCAGAGTCATACACCTAGTACTTGCAGGGGCTCCAAACATGGAGAAAACTGATCTTCAGTAAGTGAGTCTACCCTCTAACATTATATAAACATAATGTAGTCTTTATGGGACTTTGACAACCTGCTCTCCATACTCCTTGCCCTGGGACTTTGTTCTGGGTTCCTGTGACTTCTGGCTTCCTGTCTTTGGTCTCAGCCTTGGGGACTGAGTCCTGAAGGGATGGCCTGCATAAAGCCAGTCCCATGTCCCTGACAAAAAACCAGATTTGTCATCATTTATCAGTTAAAATTGCTTCAAATTAAGGATAAAAGGTCTAAAATGTCTCATGAGCATTACATACCTCATAAATGTTGTAAAAGAACAGATCCGCTGCATCTCAGTATCTTGTAGCAAAAACAAAGCAACAACTGAAAGGAGAGAAGACGGACAATTGAGAGAGGGACAAAGGGCTGTGTCAGAGATTCACTCCAGATAGGGTATGTGAAGATGACCAAACAGTTACTCACATTTAGCATCATGTAGTGTCACGTTGCCCTGCTGACCTCGTTTCTCTAAGGCTTTAGGTGACTTATCGTCTCTTGAAGCAAACTTTTTATCTGTCAACCTATTTTAGAATAGAACAGTCTCTAGTGGTGGTTTGAAAGGTTTCAGTTGTATTTAATTGATCTTGGGGTACATGAGACTTTTACTATAAAGTAAGGAGAGTGTGAGTGTCAAAACCCAAAAATGGGTTTTGTTTAATGGAGGAGAATTCTGGAATGCATTTTATTAAACATTATATTTACCAGGCTAGGGGTAGGAGAAAAGCCTAATATAAAACGTAAATACCAATTCCATCCAAAACAGATCATTTAAATCACCTATTAATCATCTATTTAGATAATCTATTCATGGTGTAGCTACCATTTTCAGATTTTTAAAAAAAGTATAAAACGTTGAAAATTTGCTACGAGCCAAATTATCACAGGGATACATCTGCAAGGACTATTGTAACACCTCCCATAACTGAGAAACAGTGCATGTTCTTTCCTTAAAAGGTATCTGCATAGGGGCGCCTGGGTGGCTCAGGCGTTAAGCGTCTGCCTTAAGCTCAGCTCGTGATCCTAGGGTCCTGGGATCGAGCCCCATGTCGGGCTCCCTGCTCTGTGGGAAGCCTGCTTCTCCCTCTCCTGCTCCCCCTGCTTGTGTTCCCTCTCTCGCTGTGCCTCTCTCTGTCAAATAAATAAATAAAACCTTTAAAAAAAAAAAAAAAGGTATCTGCATATCAACCTCAGATAATGGGAATGATATTTTCTAGAATTTGTGGGGGCGCCCAGGTGGCTCAGTCGTTAAGCGTCTGCCTTTGGCTCAGGTCATGATCCCAGGGTCCTGGGATCGAGCCCCGCATCGGGCTCCCTGCTCGGGGCGAGGCTGCTTCTGCCTCTCCCACTGCCCCTGCTTGTGTTCCCTCTCTTGCTGTGTCTCTGTCAAATAAATAAAATCTTAAAAAAAAAAAAACAATTTGTGACAACTTGAGCCATTCTGCTGAGAGCGGTCAGCAGCACTGCCACAGTTGGGAAGCAAAGGTACCTGTCTGAAGCGGGGCCGTCAGTTTCAGCAAAGTGTATTGCTTTGCCTTTCTTTCCTTTCTCCTTGAGTTCTATTGCAGGTGTAAAACTGTAATAGAAAGGAGAAAATTAGGACCCTAACCTTTCCCGGGGGGAAGACTGATCCTATCAGGACAGTAGCTCATGGCATCTTAGGACTTGCATATATTATGAGTGGCGCCCGAGGAGAATCTGAGGCACCGTGGTACTCAATTCACATTATTTACATATGGAACAACCATCTAGAAAGAGATGAACGTTTCAGACTTTACGTTCAGCCTCTATGTATCTGCGGTCTCCAGAACACCACCATACACAAAACATTTCCATCTGAAAATGTCATAGTAGCTTCACAAGAAACAGAAAGCTCATGGGAAGTCTGGAGAGATGTTTTTATTTACTGAGCACTTGTTACGCACCAAGTGCTTTTAGGCACAATCTTGTTCAATCACAGTGCCTCTATGAGGAAAATATTACTAGTATGGCCATTTTTTACACACGGAAAAACCGAAGCTTAGAAAGAGATAAGTAACATGACCAAGATCACCGAGCCCGTGTCGGAGCCAGGATTGTGGTCCGGGATCTCTCACTGCAGAGCCATGCGCGTACCCACCAGGCAGTCCTGCCTCCTGAGCTGCCATCTTAGTTGTCGCTGCTCTGGACTCTTGACTATCTCATGGAAGGTTTCAGGACTCTTTCTTTAACTCAGGGCTTCTTAAATTCTAAGGTTATACAAACATTTACTAAGCAGTAATGGGGCTAAGAAGGGACCATGACTAAGCAACAAACACACAGATACTGAGGCCATACTCTGTGTCACACATTGCTCTGACAGGAAAAGAAAATGGTGTCTGTTCGAGTCCATGCACAACCTCTTGGGAATATCAGCAAATGCTTAATAGAAAAGCCAAGAAAAACATTTTGAAGACCAGCAGAATGTGGTTCCTGCCTTTACAGAGAGTACATTTTCTGGGAGAACTGGGGTGTCTACCAAATACATTGGTTTTGAAGCCCACCGTGGATTATGATTTTCATTTTTTCTGTCTGAAACAATGCCACAGTGATAACATGACCCAGAAGCTTAATTTCTGCCCACAGTTTCATGTCTCTCTGCTAAGCTTAAATGCAGGTGTAGTAATAGAAGCACATTCCCCCAGACTTTACTCATTTTCTAAAGATGGATATCAATCATGTCTACTCTCTTCATCTCCTTGCCAACACAATAGTTTTGTGTATTTTAACAGGTTTTTTTTTTTGACACAACAGTTTTTGAAACAACTTCCTTTGAAAATTTTCTTTGATTGATGTTACCCACAAAGTAATCATTTTAGAGAAATACTTTCCCATGGGAATAATAAAGTTAATCAGTTTGGTTCTTTCTTCCTCCAGTTTTTGCCAACCTCCTAGCAGTATTCGGGTTGTAGAATAAGTTAGCTCCTAAAAGCATGTACATTATGTCACCACAAGGAAATGATCCTTTGCATTTTTCTACTTTTTTTTTTTAAGGTCATTGGTACCATGTTGGTCAGTGGATGATTTCTAAGCTTTTCATTCTTTCTGATGCCTCCAAGGATTGCGTATTTAGTGGGGAGAGTATGCTGATATACTGAGGGGGTGGGTATGCTGAAATACTGAGGGGGTGGGTGGGAAAAAAAAAAGAAATGAAAGAATACCAAATGTTGATGGTGGCTACTGCCAAAGAGAGACTGGGGATCAGATGGGGCAGAGAGGTGAAATGGTGATGAAGAGGTCTATCTTCCAATCTGTGTACTTCCGTTTTGAGGTGTTTCTTTTTAATAATAAGAATATATTGATTTATTTCCTGCATCACTAAGAAAAAGTTGATAGAGACACATAGAAAGAAAACACTGTATGGTTGATATGTTATATTGACAGACCATTTGGACAGCCTTTAACAAAATAATCAAATCTCCCAAACATCCTGACTTTTTTTTTTTTTAAGTAGGTTCTACGCCCAGCATGGAGCCCAGTGCACGGCTCAAACTCACGACCCTTAGACCAAGACCCGAGCTGAGATCAAGAGTCAGATGCTTAACCGACTAAGCCCCCCAGGGGCCCCCCAGACATTTTCTAATGGCTCTCTGAAGCCATTTCTCCTTGCTAGATGCCTTGTGCAGATTCCTTCATATAACCACCCTAAAAAAGAACACAAAGTTGTTTTCACATTTCTCCTTGGATCATCACACTGTTTTGGCCACTTACGAGCCACTGGCTGTTAACTTTCCTACCCCAGGCTAAGGAAGTCACAGGTTACCAGCTCTCCCAGGATTTCCCAGGATTTCTCTTCTCTAGAAGAGAAGACAGATACACCCAACCTTGGCTTCCACACAAGTTAGAGCTCCTCAGTGGTTATTAGAGTCTTCTCTCAGGCCCCGAGGAAAGACAAGAAGAGTGTGGGGCTTCTGGAGGTTGAGTTTCCTCAGCTGTATATCCTCAGGGGAATCAATGACCTTGGCAAAGACTCAGGCAGGCTGCTGACTCTCTCCCAGCTGTGAGGAGGGGCTCTTGAAACAAGAAAGGGTAGGACAGCTGACACTGTGTCAAGGGAAGCCTGCCTCATGGGCCAACCCAGAGGTGGCCTGTGAAGAAAGGTATTCCCTCTTTAACAAACAAGAAATGGGCATGCATGCTGGTGAATTATGCAACACCCTCATTTATGCCTCACAAAGCATTATTATTCCATTTTACAGATGAGGGAACTGATCATGACAAATATAACCACCTAGTCAGTGAGAGACATAGGCTTTGAACCCTAGGTCTTTGAACTTTCAGGCCCCCCTTCAAAGTCTCTTCCTTAACTGCCTATTAAGAAATAATGACCATCCTTTCCTGCCCATTAGTGTGTGTCCACTTCTTCTGTGGAGGTTATGGGTATCTTATATTGTGATAGTTATCCCTCTCAGGGTATAATCTGCAAATATAAGGCAAGATCTGCCTGTGACATAGGGAGCTAGGTCTTCTCTAAAAGGTAAGATTTCCATTGTCACTCATTCAGGAAAGAGGTGAAGACCTGAAAGGCTGGAAAGAGGAAAGGGATCATCTTCTCTGAACTCAAGAATACCTAGAAGTATGTGAACTCCCATTTGCTAGTGGGTGTAAAAGGTGGCCTACGCCATGTGAAAGAAGACTAAAACCCCGGGAGGGATTCCCAGGGCCTGAAATCGACGGGTTGAAACCGAATGCCCCTGAAATCAAGCTGTTACTTTGCAAAAGCAAATTATTTGGATTCATAACACTTCAAATTTTCTTCCCCACTGCTGGCTGTTCTTTTAGTCTCCTTTTAAAGCTCCTTTTCCTTTTCCTGGACATGCTCCCTAAATGAGAGCCTTTCTCAGGGTTCCATCTCGTTCCTCCTCTCACTTCCTCTGAGTAATCTCATCTACTCCACTAACATCGATAACCTACAACTTTATAGTGAAGGTTCAGCTCTTTCTGCAGACTTATAAAATGATACATCTGCCTACTGGACACCTTCGCTTGGGCATCCTACAGACATCTGAAACTCAGTATGAGCTGAACTCATTCCCCTTTAACTTGTACTCCCTACTACTCCCCCATCTCAGCAAACGGGCACCACCACCCACCAGGTGGCCAAGCCGCAAAATGGTGTCATCCTTGGTTTCTCCATCACCTGTGGCCCTTGCAGCCCACTAACCACTTAATCCTTAAATACATCTCAGATTTGTCTACTTCCCTCTCTTCCCATTGCCACCTTCCTAATTTTAGCCACCATCACCTGTCAACAGAATGTCTGCAACTGTTTTTTTTTTTAAGATTTTTATTTATTTATTCATGAGAGACAGAGAGAGAGAGAGGCAGAGGGAGAAGCAGGCTCCCCAAAGAGCAGGGAGCCCGATTCGGGACTCGCTCCCAGGACCCCGGGATCATGACCCGAGCTGAAGGCAGATGCTCAACCATCTGAGCCACCCAGGCGCCCTGCAACTACTTCTTAAGTGATCTCCTGCTCCCAGGGAGTCTGCTTAAGATTCTCTCTCTCCCTCTCCTCCCCTCCCCCTGCTCGCACACACACTCTCTCAAAAGTAAATCTTTAAAAAATATATTAAAAAGTTTTAAAGGGGCGCCTGGGTGGCTCAGATGGTTAAGCGTCTGCCTTCAGCTCAGGTCATGATCCCAGAGTCCTGGGATCGAGTCCCGCATCGGGCTCCCTGCTCCTTGGGAGCCTGCTTCTCCCTTTGCTTCTCTCTCTCTCTCTCTCTCTCTCTCATGAATAAATAAATAAAATCTTTAAAAAAAAAAAAAAAAACCCTTCCAGCGACTCCCCCGTGAGGTTCGGATTCCTCAACATTGCATGCAAGACCTTTCATGACCTTACCCTGGTTTAAATCTTCTACTCACACCCGTCTAGAACCCTATATCCAGCTTCCTGAACTACCTGCAGTCTCAAATATGCCCCAGGCCCTCTCAGGACTGGGCCTTTGCACATGCTGGGCCTTCTGCCTGGAATGCACTCTCTTCCTCCCCAACCAAATCTCCCTTTGCCTTGCCAACCCCTTACTCCTCTTCAGGTCTTGGCTTAGATATCACCTCCCCTGGGAAGCCTTCCCTGTCCTCCCCCTCCCCTGGGTTTCAGAAACTGGCCCTGTGTGGGGACTGGGTCAAGGTACTTGGCTGCATGCAGTTTTCCTCAGCCCTGGCCCTAGCCCAGTGGTGGCAGTGGTGACAGTAACTAATGAGTGGGCCCTAAGGAGAGCAGCAATCTCAGGGGAAAGAGTTAGGGTCATAGCACTGCTACCAAGAGATTCCCCTTCTAACAGGAGCCTGGAAGGGTCTGGTTTATTCAGTAAGAAGGGCAGCATAGATACCCAACCTGCCCCCACCCCTTCAAACCGCCGCAGTCCTCCTGTCTGTGTCACCTCCCTTCCACCGTACTCAGTGGGAAGGCGCCACTGTCTTTTCTGTGCTCTTGACCCCATTCCCTACTCCTTCTCTTCTGTTGCATTTCTTTTTTTCCCCAAAACAAACTTGAGATTTTCCTACCTTGAAAACAAAACCAACAAAAATCCCCTTCCCTTAGCACTGGATCCCCAAAAGCCTATCTCTTTTTTTCCCTTCTTCACAGATAAAGTCACCAATAAGAGTACTCTATTTTTGCTAGGTTCTTGAAATTTATCCCAGATGTTCTCTTCAAACTACTGTTAGCTGATTTCCCCCTTACTGGCCTCCTGAAACTGTTTCCCACCTAGCTCCTCCCCCGCCCCCAGCAATCCTAACTTGTTAAATTTAAAGGCTTGTTTTTAGTATTTGCCTCACCTTAAATCCTCTTTAGCCTCCGGCATGCTGACACTCCCTGCCCCATCCTCTGCTTTCAAAGCCTGTGCGTCCCAACGCTTTTTCTCTGGCCCTTCTAACTACCCTTTCTCTTTCACTAGCTCCTCTTTCTTTGCCTGCCCACTGTTCCTGGGAGCCACGTGAAAATAAAACTTTAAGACATGTACACTTGATTAAGAGACATATTGAACCAATTACAATGTATGGAAATTATCTGGATCCCGATTGGAAGAAACTTATAAAACATTGGATGATAGCAGACTCCTGAATACAATTGAATACATGATGATATAAAGAGATTACCATTTACACTGTAAGTACGCAAATAGTAAGTTTTTTTTAAGACAGTGCTTTATTTTTTTGAGATACATACTGAGATATTTATAGATGAAATGATATGATGTCTGGGATTTGCTTTAAAATAATCAAGGGGTGGAGGAGATGGGGTGTGGATGATATGAAGTTGACCTTAATTTGGTGACTGTTGATGCTATGTCATGGGAATGTTGGGAGTTCATTACATCATCCTTCTACTTTTGTATATGCTGGAAATATTCCAGTATAAAAAGTTTTAAATGTTTACAATTATTTATAAAACTTTAATAGTGCTATAAGAAAAAAACTAGCAAAAAATCAGACCTGCAAGGATTTTAGATATTGGAATTTTCAGTCACTGGATATAAAATAAATGGAACCAGTATGTTGAAGACAAAAATAAGGTGGTAACCCTTAACATTGGTGCACTGTTGGTCTTTGGGGGTAGAACAATGGTGGAATCTTCACTTTCAACTCTGTACGTTTATGTACTTGTTTTCAGTACATATGTACAACTTTGCCATAAGAAAAAAGATAATAATACAGTGGCTAACTGAACATAAAAAAAAAGAAAAAAGATAATGGAAATGCAGAATGTAGTCAGTTAAAAGCATGTGTTTGTGTACACATATAGAAGATTTAGAAGGCTATATAATAAGATGTTAATATGTTAACTCTTACTTTGCTGGGTGGGACTGCAAAGTTCTTTGTTTTTGCTTACTGGTATTTTCTGATTGTTTAAATAATATGACTTTTAGGGGTGCGTGGGTGGCTCAGTTTGTTAAGCGTCTGCCTTTGGCTCAGGTCATGACCCCAGACTCCTGGGACCGAGCCCCGCATCGATGCTCAGGGGGGAGTCGGCTTCTCCCTCTGCCTGCTCTACCTGCCACTCCCTCCTGCTTGTACTCTTTCTCTGACAGATAAATGAAATCTTTTAAAAAATTAAAGTAAAAAAAAAATAATATGACTTTTTAAATTTTTTTTCATAATTTTTAAAAGTACATATTTCCTAGGGTTCTGGCCTCTGTCATTTCCACTCCACGCTCTAATTCTGCTCAGGCCTCTCTCAGGGGGGCCAAACTCCTGCCTACTGACCTGGGAGTCTCACGGGCAGCTACCTCAAATTCTGCACATCTGCAAAAGTAACTTGTTACCTTTCACCCCCTCCACAAACTTACTGGCCCTCCCTCCCTCCTTATTTCAAGGAGCCGTATCATCGCCCACACAGTGACTGGGACCTTCGTGCTTCCTGCCCTCACCTCACAGCCAGTCTCACCAACTGCTCCCTCCTTCAGCAGGGCCAGAGTTACCTCCTGGTACCTCTGCCATGGGTCTTTGACTGTGTTCTCCTGGCACTCTTCATCCGGGTCCTAGCCCCTCCCCCTTGGATGGCTGCCTGATTGTCTCTCCCTAGTTCTTTTGTTTGTTTTTGGATGGTTAAAAAAATTTGAGAGAGCCAGCTGTGCACAGAGGAAGAGGAAAAGGGAGATGCAGACTCCCTGCTGAGCAGGAAGCCCCATCCCCCCAAGGACCCTGAGATCATGACCTGAGCCACCCACGCGCCCCTCGTTCTAACCTTCCCCTCCACGCTCCTGTGGGAGGGGCTTTCTAGAGCATAGATGCAATCCCATCCAATACATGCTCAGTCAAGGCTGATGGAGCATGCTAAACAGAACCAGGTCTGAGCACAGTAACTGAACAGGCCTTCCCTCTGCCTCCGCTGCTCCCACCCCTACCACTGGCTCCTCTCAGCCTCCCCCACCTCTGCCCTGTACCATCACCAGTAACCGGGGTGAGGTAAGTCTCTGAAACACAGTTTCAGAAAAAAAAAAAAAAAAGAGCCATGTTCCGGCTCATGAGTCCTCGCGCAATTTAATTTAATTGTGATGGGATATGCTTAGACTCTAAAAGGGAATCAGTACCTGCACTTCCATCAAATCCAAACACTAACTCTGGCCTAAAACATACAAAGGTCTGCTTTCCTCTTCCTTAGGATTGTCCTTAGCAGCTGGAGTCCCGAGGGAATCCTGATACTCTGAGATTTGCCATGCTGAGTTGCTGAAACATAGAGCAGCTCCACCACAAAACGGCTGTCACCCGTCTACTCCTCGTGGCATTCTTTTCCCTCTCTCTCCTGACTGCTCCCATTTTGTGTCCTCCACAGTCTGGACTTTGTGTGTTGTTTTGGTTCGGTTTGGTTTTTTGCTTTTTAAAACTGTGGTATAGGGGCGCCTGGGTGGTTCAGTTGTTAGGCGTCGGCTCGGGTCCTGATCCCCGGGTCCTGGGACCCAGCCCCGCGTCGGGCTCCCTGCTCCGCGGGAAGCCTGCTTCTCCCTCTCCCACTCCTTCTGCTTGTCTTCCCTCTCTCACTGTCTCTCTCTCTGCCAAATAAATAAATAAAATCTTAAAAAAAAATTGTGGTATAATTTAACATGTAGTAAAGTACATAAATCTTAAGTGGACAGCTTGATGAATTTTTTACTATGTACATACCCATGTAACCACCACCCAGATCAATATATAGTCCATTGCCAGCACCTCGGAAGGTTCTCTTACACCTTCCCCCACCTCCTGTCAGTTGATAATGTCCCCAAGGTAACCACTATTCTGACCTCTATCATCACAGTTCTCTTTTTGCCTGTTATTTTAAACTTTTATATAAATGGAATTATAGATTTACATTTTTGTATCTGGCCTTTCAACATTATGTCATATAACCTACCTTTTAAATCATACCATCACACATATACTCTCCAAAATTAGTGGAAATCAATCAAGCCCTTTTTTAAAGAATAATTTGGTAATAAACCAAAAGAAACTACTTTATGAATATGAGTATTTTATGAGTAAGAAAGTCTGTGAAATTGATAATCTGTGAATTTATTAGTAGGTGCATACAGGAAACAGTGATACTTCAGTGGGTTACCATTAAATTAGCACTGAAAATTAGTTTGAAAAGTACTGCAAATTAATTTCATTTACAAAGGTAAGTAAAAAGTATGGTCCAACTTTCATCATAGGAAGAGAGGATTGAGAGGCACCTGGGTGTCTCAGTCAGTTAAGCATCCAACTCTTAATTTCAGCTCAGGTCATGATCTCAGCATTGTGAGATCGAGCCCTGCTCGGCTCTGTGCTGGACATGGAGCCTGCTTAAGATTCTCTCCCTCTCCGCCCACCCCCACACATGCCTGCTTTCTTTCTCTCTCTCTCAGAAAGAGAGAGAGAGAGAGAGAGGATTGAAATGGCCTTTAAATATACATGAAGATTGAGAAATGAAAATGTTGGCACTTAAAATTTATGTCCACATTTTCTGGTATTTTAACGTGTATTTAACTTGTACTTTGACTCCTGTGTTTATCTTGGCTGTCTAATCCCAAAGCTCTTTCTTTCTCACTGTCCATCTCACACTCACTGAGTGTGATATTTTAGGAGCTACACAACAGAATTTTCTGTGACACATCTACAAACAAAAAACTGAAATCAATCACCACTTTGGAAATGACAAACGCCCCAGAAATATTGAAACAAATATTCTATGAAATATAAACTTTTTTTTTAAGATTTTTATTTATTTATTCATGAGAGACAGAGAGAGAGAGAGGCAGAGGGAGAAGCAGGCTCCCAAGGAGCAGGGAGCCCGATGCGGGACTCGATCTCAGGACCCTGGGATCATGACCTGAGCCGAAGGCAGACGCTTAACCATCTGAGCCACCCAGGCGCCCTGAAATATAAACTTTTGATTTTGACTCTAAAACAATGCTTAGCCTTTAAACTGTTTGACATTAAATATCATTATATTTATAATGTAACTATAAAATACATCGCTTAGCCTTTCCCGATCTCCAGGCCCATTTATCCAACAGCCTAAGAGACCATTGTGAATATGTCACAGTAAGCTCAAGCACATCACCAGTTTTGTCTGTTATTCTGTATAGAGGTGAAGGGCAGTCCCAGCTACACAATCACCCAAGCCAGACACTGGGAATCAGCAGGAGCCCCTCTTCTCCCTCTCCCTTCACATCTTATCAATTCTACCCAAAATCCTGTGTGGTTCCAACTCTGAAGTATTTCGTAGTCCTGCACCCTTGTCTATTCCTCCTGATACAAGACTTCAAGCCGACTCATGGTTTTGTACCTGTACAGCCATCTGTAAACCTCCCACAACTAGCTTTTTAACTGGTCCCCTGCCTCTGGCCTTCCTCTACTTGAATCTAGTTGGTTTACTGAAATATTCAATAAACACCTGGTGAGGGTGTACTCTGTGAAGTTCTGTAGACAGCTCCTAGGGACACAAAGATGAGCAAGACAGCTCCTGCCACTGAGGGGCTTACGGTCTAAAGGAGGGAGACAGTGTATGGGAAGGGCTGTGGCATCAGACAAACCCTGGTTCAAAATGTCAGTTTTGCTACTTACTGGCTGTATGACTTTGGGTCAGATGCTTAATCTCCCTGAGCCTTGTTTCTTCATCTATAAAATGGAGGTATTCGGGGCACCTGGGTGGCTCAGCTGGTTAAGCGGCTGCCTTCGGCTCAGGTCATGATCCCAGGGTCCTGGGATCGAGTCCCGCATCGGGCTCCCTGCTCAGCGGGGAGCCTGCTTCTCCCTCTCCCTCTGCCTCGCCCCTGCTAATGCTCTCTCTCTCTCTGTATCTCTGTGTCTCAAATGAATAAAAAAAACGATATTAAAAAAAGAAAATGGAGGTATTCTCACTTTTCATGGCTGTTTAAGAATCAGAAAACATGCAAACGTCTGGCACATAATAGGTACACAGCAGATAGTGGCTAGTACTATTTTTTTTTTTTTAAAGATTTTATTTATTTATTTGAGAGAGAGAATGAGATAGAGAGAGCATGAGAGGGGGGAGGGTCCGAGGGAGAAGCAGACTCCCTGCTGAGCAGGGAGCCCGATGCGGGACTCGATCCCGGGACTCCAGGATCATGACCTGAGCCGAAGGCAGTGGCTTAACCAACTGAGCCACCCAGGCGCCCCTGGCTAGTACTATTTGTTTAGTTATGCACTTTTTATTAATTTTTTAAAGATTTTATTTATTTATTTGAGAGAGACAGAGATAGCAACAGACAGCACAAGCGGGGAGGAGAGGGAGAAGCAGGCTCTCTGAGGAGAGGGCGCCCGATGCAGGGCTTGATCCCAGGACCCTGGGATCATGACCTGAGCCTCAAAACAGGGAAACATGCTCTAACACCGACCCCTCTCAACCGACTGGGCCACCCAGGTGCCCCAAGTTATGCACTTTTAATAGAGTCAGTATTTTCTCAATGGAGATTAAAATCGGTTTTTCCTAATTTAATAATTTTACCTTGGAGAACTGTCTATTATGCAGCAAGTATAATATGGTCTCATTAATGTAAAATTGTATTTCTGTAACTCAAAGAGGCAATTTTATAAAGTAGTTAAGAATATGGACTCTGGGGGCACCTGGGTGGCTCAGCCCTTTAAGCATTTGCCTTCGGCTCATGTCATGATCCCAGGGTCAGGGTCCTGGGATCAAGCCCCGCATCGGGCCCCCTGCTCAGCACAGAGTCTGCTTCTCCCTCTCCTTCTGCCCCTTCCCACTGCTCCGTGCTCTCTCTCAAATAGTCTTTAAAAAAAAAAAAATGGACTCTGAGCCAACAGACCTAGATTTCAATCATCTTAGTCACCTGTGAGCTGTGTTATTTGGCTAAGTCACTTAGTTTTCTTTAAATTGCTTAACCCTTTGAGTTTAGTTTCTTCATCTGTAAGTGGATGAACATGCAGCTTTTTCAAAGGGTTGGCAAACTGATTAGCACAGTGCTACATAGGAAGCAGCTGATAAATGTTATCAGAAAGTGGTATCTGGAAGGCTGCTCACCAAAATGGTTTTCTCTAGATGGTGGGATTTCAGCAGATATTTATTTTGCTCATTATACTCTTGTGTATTGCTTGATTTTTTTTTTTTACCCCAAGCACATGTAATTTTTATAAAAGCTAAAATAAAGTTTTAATAAAATTTACCTTCTGAATTCAAGAGTTCTGGTTTCATCTTTCCAGTACCACATCCCCAATCGCAATCCCAACTGCTGTAAAATGAAATGATTGCAGCAAATATTAAAAATTCAATTTACAATACACATGTCACAATGAACTTTTAACAATTCCCACTTGTTGCTCTTTATCCAGTAAAGATGTAGAATCTTCAAATGTTGTGTTGTGGGGTTTTGTTTTGTTTTCATTGAAGCCAGGATTTTATCCTTTTTGTGTTCACGTGTAGTTTCAGTAGAAAAGAAGGAAGAGAGGGAGGAAGAGGGGGGAGGAAGAAAAGGAAGGGAGGACATTTCACTTAGTCTGCACTACTATCCCGAGGCTCATCAGAGCAATTTATGAACTGGGACTCAGACCACAATAAACTGATGCCCAGCGGAGCCTCAGCGGAGGAGAGGAGATAAGACATTCAAAACAGGGGAGCGTGCTCTGACACCGACCCCGCCCTTCAGGGGAAGGAGGCAAAGGACAGGCTTACCTTTTCAGTAGTGGTAGCTACCAAGCCACCAGCCTTTCCTAACCGGGGATCGCGCCCGGAGCACGACGGCTTTCTGCACAGGAGGGCTATTTATTTTGCAACCAACCAAATTAGAGGTGCTGGGGTGGAACTTTCATAAACATCTAAATATCTGGGTAGGAAGCCAGAAGTCAATTCTGACCTTTGGCCGAGTACACCTCTCTAGTCTTGGTTTTGTAGGCAAATAGGGCCACGTCTGTCGGAGAGCCGCTCGCCCAGGGTTGAGGGCAGGGCCGCGGCAGAGGGAGCCGCCCCGGGAGCCGCGGGGCCGGGGAGGCGGCGGCAGGGCAGGTCTGCTCCGGCCCCGGGGGTGGGGGCGACCAAGGCTGCACTTACCTCCGGCAGGGAAGCGACCTGCCGGTCCCACCGCCTCCTCCGGGAATAAAACAACGGCACCGGATGCCTGTCCTCTCCCAGCCCGCCAAACATGGTCACCCAGTCAGCTGCCCACCGGCGCGGCCAACCGCGGCCCGAGGGCTGCCGCTGGGGGGTCGGGGGGGCGGTGCGGGGACCCTGCTTCCGCCGCGGGCTGGGCCGACTGCGCCCGCGGGCTGGCGAACGGCCGGGCTGCGTAGCCCGGGCGGGGCACGCCTCGGCCCGGTTCCCGTTCACGCGGGGCTCCGTCCACGTTCTGGCTACCTCTGGTGGCTTATAGGCGTACGCAGAGTAAAGCTGCCCAGGGGTTAGTTCTGTACAAGTCAATTCTTCATGGCCTTCCAACCGTGAAGTAAACCACTTAACTGTTTTTTGTTCTTAATTGGAGTAACAAGATTCAATTCCATAGGGAAGATCCCTTTGTCCCAAAATTTAATAGCACTAAATTAATTTCAAATCCAGGGCGGGATTAGGTCGATGGGGGGGGGTTGGTGGAGGTTTAGGGGAGGATGCGTGGAAATAAGGTTTTTGTATCTTGGTTCTGCTGCATATCTAGATGTGCTACCCAGGGCAAGACAACTTCAATTCTCCTTGAAGATACCGAAGTCAGGGGTTATGAGGTTTTTAAAGGAGTAATGTGTGTAAAGCACCACTCTACTCAAAATTAGTGTTGCTTAAAGCAAAGAAACTTGCTTTGTGTCAGTGAGTATTCAATTATATTTTTACATTTATGCTTTTCACTTTTCAAATCCTGTCTTCGAATTCCTTCTTGCAACTGACTTTTGTTGATATTTTTCCTTCCAACACTGATGTCAGCAATGCTAGATAACAATTGAGAATGCCTAATATATTTTGTTTTATCCCCACAGTTTAATTAGGTTAAGAGATGCTCAGTAAATAGTAACTATATTCCCATCAATTTTAAACATATGACAATTGGCATCCCACTGCTTCCCCTTACTGCCCCAGCCCCCACCCCAGCCCCCCAGTCTCACTCCTGGGTGACACATAATTAGTATAAAACTAATCAGCTGGATTCATGTTCCACTCAGTCCACTGCTGTTCAGATAATATGGAAACCCACCTATACACTGGCAGTGGGGCTTTGAGGCTGTGGCCTCAGGACTGGCTTATTCCATGAGATTATTCACTTGAAATAGGAGTTAAGAATATTTCAGTCACCAAGAGTTTTTTACCTAACAATGTATATAACTTGGGGTGGGGAGGACAGGGAGAAATTATGAGCTAACACTCCACAAAGGCCTGAGAAAGACCAAGGACTCCAGATAGAATCCGTTCACCTCACCACCAATGTCAGGAAGAACACACTTCAGTCAACTTCTTCAGTTTATCCCAGTGAGTGAAGAAATGCTAATAGAAAACCAAAGATCTTTTATACTTCACCATAGTTTAACTTCAGGCTAATGTACAAAACTAAGGTAAAAAATAAGAGGTGAGACCTGAACACAATGATCTACATAAAAGTTACATGACAAGTTATTTCACCTGTGCTAGAGGGACATGGTATTTATAGGAAAACTTCAATAACTCTGAGGGGCCATCTTATTCTTCTGTATTACCAGACCCTAACAAAAAAGGGAATAAAAGATTGTTTTTACGGCTCTAAATCATTATTTATTTAAAAAGTGACCAATACTATTGGGGTGCCTGGGTGGCTCAGTCAGTTCGGCGTCCGCCTGCGGCTCGTGATTCCAGGGTCCTGGGATCGAGTCCACATCCGGCTTGAGCAGGGAGCCTGCTTCTCCCTCTCCCTCTACCTGCCACTCCCCCTGCTTGTGCCCTCTCCCTCTGTCAAGTAAATAAATAAATAAATAAAAAATCTTTAAAAAAAAAGTGACCTATTCATTTCTTAGGTTAGATTTTTTTTACCAGTTAGATTTTTTTTAGTGATATCAGAATCTCCTAATCTGGCCACCTGGGTGGCTCAGATGGTTGAGTGTCTGCCTTCGGCTCAGGTCATGGTCCCAGGGTCCTGGGATTGAGTCCCGCGTCGGGCTCCCTGTTCCTTGGGAGCCTGCTTCTCCCTCTGCCTCTCTCTCTCTCTCTGTCTTTCATGAATAAATAAATAAAATCTTTAAAAAAAAAAATCTCATAATCTAAAATGGAAATATAATTTTCCCTTAAAAAAACAATTAATGATGTTATAAAGTAGGGATAGAGGTACTATATAAATATTTAACAACTTCAAGTGTCCTGTGAGAGAAAGATTTTTTTTTTTTTTTGCCTAAGTAAGAGAAACTTCTTAAGGTCATATTATAACTAAGAGCATATTAACATAAAACTAAGTTGCTGGTCTCAGATTTTAGGCCCAAGACATTAATTGAATATAATGTATGCTTATACTATGAAAAAGTCGTAACAGAGAGATTTTCAAAGTATTATAATTCTACCTTTAAAAACTAACGTGTAAGAAAATGGCAATGCCAGTATTTGAATTATCAACTCCATTTATCTACTCTCCATCTAATCTATACTGAAAGAGGAAAGACCCTATGGCTTCTTGATTTGTTCTAAGGGAAAGACATTTCAACACTAAGTATCACCCTATTAAATTTCAGGACTGCATATACCCTAAAGTATTCCAAGAGCTATCTCTGAAGATCTGTAATTTTTCTTTAAGGAATGTATCAATTTTTCTGTATCTAATTGTAATGCTTAAGGATAATCCTTCAAAACTCATTTCTATTTAGACATTATACAGAAGCAATTAAATATGCCCGTTGTTCCTTAACCTAAACATATATATTGCCTTAGCAATTGTCTTGTGATGTATGGATTTGAGATTCTTTAAAACTTCAATTCCAGTGTTCAAAAGCAAGGGGAACATGCCTCACAGCACAACTTTTATAAACTACATTCAGTGCATAGGATAAAGAAATTCTCGTTAAGCCTCCTTGACGTATTGTACAGGTGATACATTAAATAACCTATTATGCATGCTAAGTTTAAAGATGTGAACAGCATTAATATCTCCTCATGAACAAATGTTAATGAATTACCACTATACACAACAAACTAATACCATAAAAAATTTAGAGTAAGCTTGTTTTGAAATTTCATGCATCTCAAATACTATGAAAAACTTGTTAGGTCTTATTTTGACAGGTGTTTAGGATTTACTGCCTCAAAACAGGAACAACTATATTAGACATCCAGGTAAGAATTTAAGTGCCCATTCTGAGAAGTGTTCTTTTTAATTCCTTAGCGTTCTATATGTATTGCATTAGCTTTAGTCCAGACCACTAGTCCCTAGTGTAACACTACTTTCAAGTTCAAGTGATGCTAATTATTCCTTAAACTGTAATTTACCCTCATCCTAATATCAAGTACTTTTTCCATTGTCATTTGACTACGTCTGATCTAACATCTGCTAAGGAGTTCCCAGGAGTTATCCGATTACCAGTTTCAACTGACCCCTGGAAACACTGAAAGCCTACTTTGGTGGCTTTATCTTCACAATATTCAGATCTAGATAAATTTGAGAAGACAAAATTAAATTAAAAACACTCAAGAAGGCTAGGAGTTTTATAAATTACTTTTCAGAATAACAGAAAATGAAGTATCTACATAAATTGATATTCGTGTTTTAGCAAGTTACCAGAGGCCAGGCCATAGGATAGTCAAAGAGACTACCACTGGTCATTTTTCTGATAGCTTTAGAAACTAATCTCTTCTAAACAAAGGTCTAAAATGAATCATACTAATGCCAAATTGCACTTGCAGAAAGATTCCATTACATTTTGAAGTTTGAGCAAGGGATAAACGCTTTCAACAAATAAAGGACTAATAAAAGGTTACTAGAATGAGCACTGTCATGGTAAAAATTCATGTTAAACATCACTCTAAAGCTAGTATTCACCAGATTCTGTTAATACTAAGGTAGTTTGTCAAGTATTTATGTGATGTTATCTGTAGTTAAACACCCTTAATGCCTCCTTGCTGAAAACTTTCCACCAAAGTGGCACTAATACCGAAAAAACTGAGTTATCATCAGCTTTTGAGTGTAAAAAGCAGTTACCTTAAAATTTTAAGTTTTGAAACAATTTCAAAATTGCCTTTTTATCTCACTCCCACCCACCCAAATGACTCTGCTTAAAAAATAAAAAACTTAAGAGTCAGCTCTTGTGTGAGAGGGTCATTACAAAGCTCAATATTTTTTTTTAAAGATTTTATTTATTCATGAGAGACAGAGAGAGAGAGAGAGGCAGAGGGAGAAGCAGGCTCCCTGCTGAGCAGGAAGCCCGATGCGGGACTCGATCCCAGGACCCTGGGATCATGACCCGAGCCGAAGGCAGACGCTTAACCATCTGAGCCACCCAGGCGCCCACAAAGCTCAATATTTTTAATTTGTTCTCTAGTTTTTAGATTATTTCAAAAATTAATCTCTCTGCATGATACAAAAGGGTCTACTACTAAAAATATAGCATCTATAATGCACTGTTATCTTATGAACAAATGGAAGCAAATCTACATTGAATAGAGATAGTGAAATGTCTATGTGTGGTAAAAACAGGCTAACTTCATTTTCCAATCAGCTTTATTCAATTTCTCCTAAGTTCCCCTTAAAGAGAATAAATCAGAACAAAGTAGAGACGTCATTCCACTAAAAAATACTAATATGAACCCCCTTCTCCTAAGGGTGTGGATTTTAAAGCTTAAGCCCAGGACAGTTGATCCTAAAGGGTTGCAATATTCTTATCTGTAACAATTTCAAATCAGATACATAGGAAATTGGACAAGTTGTAGATTACAAAATACAGGACTATCTTGCAGTTTTGTCTTTTAGAAAAGGAAACTGGTGCGCCTGTCTGGTGCAGTTGGTTAAGCGGCTGACCCTTGGTTTCAGTTCATGTCTGATCTCAGGGTGATGAGACCGAATCCCACATCAGGCTCTGCTTAGCACAGTCTTCTTGGGTTTGCCTCGCCTCTCCATTTACCCCTCCCCCCCTTAAATAAATCAATTTTAAAACAAATATTAAAAAAATAAAAAGAAAAAAAGAAAATCTACTCTAGTGATTGAAGGCAAGTATTGC